CATTTTTCCAAAGCCTAATGAGCGTGATCATTGATGAAAAGTCTATATTATTAGAGGCCTTTGAAACGATTCTTGTAAATAAATGAGTAATAGCATGTCGGTAGCTTCACAAGTAGATACATACGGAATGGGTGGAAATGGTTCTGACGCATTCATTGTCTTATTGCTAGAGTTAATTATAATAGTACAGACAATTACTTGTCATAATTTTACTTTTACAAATCTTATAGCACGCTGAATCTGCAAGCGACATAGAAAATCTTGATGTAGCAGACAAACACAGCAGCAAAGGAGAAATGCAGGTATTTTTTTCATTTGATAATAGTTCAGCTAATAGTTGCACGCTGAACTGCTGGGAAAATAATAACTTGATATAGACATATATTAGGTTGGTTCGAAAGTTCTTGCGCACCATTTTCAAGAAATCATAACTTCCTCGCCGTTGGGTGGATTTCGTTGAAATTATATCTATTCGAAAGAGGAATCCATGTTTTTTACATCAGTGCCTTAGCCATGAATTAGCGTTGGTAAGTTCGAGAGTTGAAAGCAATTGAAGAAAATTAGTCAAGATCGACATTTTTCAGGCTGGATCACGAAAAATTCTGGAAGTATTTTTATTTGATATAGAAAATTTTGCGCATTTTAGTGGTACCTTTCCCATGAATTAAAACGAAAAAGATCGAGAGTTAGGAGCAAATAAAGAGAATTACTTCAGTTTTGCAATTTTTGAGCATGCTCAAAAAAGCCTAGAAACGTCACAGAAAAGGCGGAAAAGTCATAAACATGGGTTTTGTAACCTTTTCTTTTTAGCTGAGCAAGAATCGTGTCAATCGAAAGCAATTTTGTTTTTCGAGATTTTTTCGGATTTTCGGGTCTGCGTTTTTCTCGAAAGTCAAAATTGCTCTCGATTAGCAGGATTTTCATTCAGCTAAAAAGAGAAGGTTACAAAACCCATGTTCATGACTTTCCGTCTTTTCTGCGACGTTTCTAGGCTTTTTTAAGCGTGCTCAAAAATTGCAAAATTAAGACAATTCTCTTTATTTGCTCCTCACTCTCGATCTTTTTCGTTTTAATTCAGAAAGGTACCACTGTAATGCGCAAAATTTTCTATAACAAATAAAAATACTTCCAGAATTTTTTGTGATCCAGCTCGAAAAATGCCAATCTTGACTGATTTCATTCAACTGCTTGTAACTTTCAAAGTTTCTCAAATTAATTCATGGCTGAGGAACTGCTGTAAAGAGCATGGATTCCTCTTTCGAATCGATATAATATCAACAAAATCCATCGAATGGCGAGGAAGTTATGGTTTCTTGAAAATGGTGCGCAAGAACTTTCGGACCAACCTAATACATGCAAAAAAATTTAGTCTCTTTTTGAAGATAGCATCGTCAAAACACCGTAGGTGATGCGTAGATCTCATTATGATTATCCATGTTTTTTTTACAACAAATTACAAAACACGAGAAACACTAACGGCTGGTACGAGAACAATCAGAAAACGAGCGGCTAAACGGTGTAAATGTTGATTTGTACACCGAAAAAACAAAAAATAAAACGCACACTATTGCATGATGTTGACCTCTTGAATTCCGTTGTTTAATGTGGGGTCAACTGAATGTACCCTTCAGCTTTTGTTTGAATTCAAGAGAAGGGTATGTGTCGTGTCGGGGTAATGCGTCGGCTTGGTGTAGAACGGTGCACCTGGTGCATAATCAAAAATACACTCCTTGATAGCTCTGACCCGATCCAGGTTAATGTACTCTTCGGCTGCAACCTCATGCAGAAGGTACTTGGCCTCATCAACGGCATATTTTTCGGGCGCCTGTAGTTTTTATCCATTTCATGCCAAATTTCAGACTTGAATAGTTTCTATTAGTTGGTTGCGATATGTGAAAAATGTTATTATCGGTTACTTATTTGATTTTGTCACCTTGCTCTTCGGAAGATGGTGGAAGCTTCTTAGTGTTTGAAATGGCAGAAAATTTGCCCAGCTGGAATGAGTTAAGGGTATGCTCGTTTAACTAGAAGAAAATAAAGAACCCCTTTTCATGACTCAATTTCCCTTCCTTCCGGCTTCCCCATCTCCCATCCCCTATTGTCAAATGTTTATTCGACAAAACTTCTGTTTTTGGAAAGGCTTTTCTAAAGTGCGCAGAATTTCCGCATGCACTTATTCTACTACTTTCAACTGTGCCTAGTCATCCCACCTTTGAGTTTAAGATTGAAGTATCGTTAAACTGAGTGAGGTGGCCTTAACTCTCCAATTTCTTCCTTAGCTATTCCACTACTTTGTTCTCTCCACTGATCTTCAAACACAGAAAAGCGTCAGGCTTTTGTCAGTAAAGCTCAAAAATTTGAATAAAGTTTGTGACAGATTAGATATGCAGAAAAAAGCCCTGGCAGAGTGTAAATACTCCCTCCCCTTTACCAGTGGCGTACCCAGGATTTCGGCTCGGGGGGGGCGTGACAAAAATTTTTTTCTAAGGAAGGTGCGTGGCGTCAGCCACGCACTCCGAAAATTTTTTTGGGGTGCTTCTCAAAATTTTTCCGGGTCCCCGACCCCTAAAATCTGGAAAAAGGGGGCGTGGCGTCAGCCACGCCCCCGAAAAAAAAATTTTTATAAGGCTAAAATGAATTTTTAAAAAATTTTAAAAATTATTTTAATTATTTACAAGTAAAAACAAGTCACTTGCACATTTTTATAACCCATGTAAGTAACTTTCAAAAATTTCGCGACCCGTTCTCGGGGGGGGGGCGCGCGCCCCCCCCGCCCCCCCCCCTCGGTACGCCACTGCCCTTTACGCTTCCTCTTCCCTACTCTATCAAACTTGAGTAACCTCAACGAAAACCGCAAAAAACTCTTCATGGCCGTTCTGAATGCTTCTTCGGCTAGAAACCCCAGTTCGTAATTTCTATCATTTTTGACAAAGGCCCGAATTCCCCTTCAGAAGTCAAAAACTAATTTTCTAAGCCAAAGTGCTCTCCATAGTTTTCTGAATCTCAATCTCTTCCCCCCTCATGCCTTTTCGAAAATCAGTTAGGCGGCTAAATTCCTGAGATTCTTGGCATTTAGGTTACAATGATTTAAATTTACTGTACTTCTTCAGGGTGCTCTAATGGCAATTTGGTGGACTGGATGTGCTCCTCGCAATCTACCCATCTGCCGTATGGGGTAAATGTTTCTAATCGATGATGCTACCATTGACGGGGTTTAGCTATCTGATAATTGCACTTTGTTTGGGGTGTCGATCAACACCATCTAAGACAGGCACAAAAATATGATGAGTCATCACGCCGCTCCCCTGCACTGGCACGCAACGAACTTGTGACGTCTAGTCCCATGGCTGCAGAGGAGAGGGGGCATGTTACAGAATCGCGCTCAGTCACTTGCGCTTTATTTTAGTCGAGATAACCGATGTGCTGTAAAATTGTGCCGAGGATATTTATGGCACTGCTAAACATGTTCATCTTAGAAATTAGTGAAATCACAGGGTATCGAATATTCGATGAACCGCTGTTCGGGAGCTGTTCATCGAAAAACTCACAACTCAATCGTTTTGTCGAAGACATCTCTAGCAGTACCAAATAGACGACTTTGAAATCAAGGGGCGATCTCCTGCGGATCGCCCCTGAGATCACATGAAACCGTGAAAATCTCGGCTTGTATGGCAATGTTCTGCTATCCATTATAGGTCTAAGGCATAACTCACGCGATCTCAGTCGTCACTGCACGATTAGGCACACAAGCGACTGTTCGTAATTAGTCGTTCATTTGAACAGGACCTGATTCGCTTGCAAGTACTTACAAAAGCTGCGCGCCTATGCATTTAAAAACCGCCCACGACGAATCTGCGAAATTCTGGCAGGATGCCAGCGGGGTCGCGATTTGGTCAAATCGCGTGAGGCATGCCTTAGGCCATACTTAGATAATATCTACTCCAAGACGAAGGCGGTCGCCCAAATAGGTTGAAGCGTGTCGCGCACGCGGCGCGCGGGCAACTGTCAGCCATGGAGCGTGCGCAGGCGCGGTCAGCGGTCATCCACGGAGCGCGCGCCGCACAGCAGCTAGCCGGCCGCGTTATTGGTGCTAATTTTTGCTGTTATTGTGAACTTCGATGACTGTACTCGTCCAGTGAGGTGAGTTTCCACTTCAACTTTTCTTTTTATGTGAAGTTTTGGTACTAGATTTGTATGCTGACTATTTTTCATGACTTTGTATGCTGCATGCTTGCGCTATGTGTCTGCAGTCCGTTGCTTGTGTGCGCTCCTTGTTCTTCATTGCTCTCCTTGCTTTTCGTTTCTTTTTTCAGTCTCCTTTGTAAGCTTTCTGTTTGTTGTGAATGTTTTTATTGCATTGCTGTGTGAATGCTCGTGAGCAGAGGCAGATTTGTTTTCCCACAGCCCTGTCTCTTGACCCTGCATGCTCTCTGTCCTCACCAGTGCTTGTAAGAGCTGTGCATCTTCATTTTTGCTTCTTTGTGAGAAAGCAAAACCCTAGATAGCGTGGCTATCAAGCAATTTTGTTCTAATGCATGCTAAAGAGATACGAATGTTATTTCAGTGCGATATATAGTAATCGACAAGGTGAGTCTTTCCTTACCTCAGTCTATCGATTTTTTTTTGATTTCTTGATTCATTGCTTACCTTACGCGCACTTGCGCATGTTACAATTCTTTGGTTAGAAAGGATTTATTTGTGAAGAGTTGATTGATCCTTCAGAAATTAGACTAATCGTTTAGTGAGCTCATGATCAACTTAAAGTGTAGCTATGAGGTGGATAGGTGCGAAACTAGGAGACCTACAAGTATCTAACATGCAAGCAGATATAGCGAAAGACAAATAAGTGGTGGAAGTAGTAGATTGAGCATCATGTTGATTGTTTTCCTTTGAAAGGCGCATTGAAGTGAGAATGATTGTGCTATGATGAAAGAAAGTGAGTAATTAGACCGAGGAAACTAGCTTAATATGTCAAATAAGTATATGATCTCAAATGTAGTCTAAAGGCCTAGAGCGCTCCAAGCTTCTTCGATGTCGCTAACATCGCTAACATCGCTAGAAGATTCCAAACCCTATGAGACACGACTCTTGAGTTATTTTGTGCTAAGTTATCAGTGAGTCTTTCTTACTTGGCTATTTTCGAGGTCGATAGCGATTTTTTCCCTTGCTGCCTCCTCTTCATGCACAACGTGAGCAACCCAATCATGACATAACGATTGTGGCACGTTACTTATCCACTGCAGCGCTCTCTGTTTCACCTTCAAAAAGACTTACATTGACAAGCTTTTGTTCAGTCACCTATACCGTTTGTAGGGTGTCATTGTGCTTTCCGAGCTTGGTGAGATAGTCCTTCATTCGACCCCAACACATTTCAATCGGGTTGAAGAAATAGTGGAAAGGCGGTAGCCTTACCACTATTGCTCCCACCTCGGCACAAATATTCTCAGCAGCATATTTGCGCAAAGCGTATCGACCGCCGCGACTGGATATAAATCTCTCGAGCTGGAAAGAATAGGGTAGTTTAGCTGCTAGATGGATGAACTGAATTGAATATAAGTCACTTGTGCTACAAGATCTTGCTTCGTAGGATTTAGAGGCACCGTAACGTGTTGCGACCGCAAATAATCTTCTATAACCGCCTTTGTGCAGGACCTGGTGGGTATCTGAATTATATGATTGGTTTCGTTAAGCGTTTTATCGGGAGTAGACCTTTTCTAATTGTCGAGAGTGATAGGCCGCGTTATCCATCACTAAGCACAAACGACGGGCACCAGCAACACTCTGCATTTTGGGCAGTGATTCCCTCATCCATTTCTCAAAGACTTCGTGGTCCATATCCTGATGATAGTCCCCGACTGCATCGCGGCCACTGATGATAATTTTGGTGCAGCCGGGTACTATTCCACTCTCAGTCATGGCGCTGATGACAATCGCCCTTTTTCCCTTGTCTTTAGTAGCAGTTTTTCCGTGGGAAAAATGCTGAAAGACCGATTCTGGGGCGAAGCGCGGTATGTTCGTGTCGACCCATCCCCTAGCCTTTGACATGCAATCGTATATCCACGTTTCATCGAGGTATACAATGCAGCAGTTGCTGCTCCTGGCTTGTGCAATAGCATCGAGATACGTGGATCTTCTGCTGACGAGATCTGGACGTTCAAAAATGTACCTCTGGCCGGCGTTTCTTCTGTATGCGAATCCGAGCCCTTTCAGCAGGTAATAGAAGGTTGTCTCTGATAAGTCAAAGGTGGGATGGACTTGTTTCAGCTCATCCAGAATCTCTGCCACTGTTACATGCTTTTCTTGCCTAAACTTCTGATGCATGAATTGCCTTATGGTGTCTCCCCATTCGTCCCCGTGTACTTCAAGAGCCTCAATCGTGCGTTGTTTCGAGGACATTGCAACAGGCGCGATGGTACGGGGGATGGCTTTTCTACTCAAATCGGTCTCAGCTTTGAGGCGTTGTACTGTGCGATGACCGATTCCGCACGCGATGCCTGTCAGCTTTGCAGGAAAGTCAAAGATGGTCCATCTAGCTGCCTTGCCTAAGCGGCGCTTCAGCTCTTCAAAGAACACTTCGACGTTGCCCACTATTGCTTTGCTCTTAGCGTCCAGTGATGCTCGACCTTTGTATTCAGCGTTACTCGAACGAAGTGGGCGAACTGGAGAGTAGCCTTCTTCTAGTGGCGTTGAGAACATCTCAAATGTGAGACCTCTGATGGTGCTCTCCAAGTCGTTGACCGGATTCTAACAATCAAAGTATAAGATAGATGACAACGGAAACAGTTAAAGCTTACTGAAGTAGTAGGGAGACTTTCCGAAGATGTCCTTTGAGCAACCTCATCGCTTCTTGAGTGCTAAGATATCAAAGAACTTTCTTTGTGGACATTCAGCATGCTCAATTGTTATCCTATAGAGATTCAACTTACTGTGGGAGATGTGGGAGTATCATCTCTCAAGTTCTCTCTGCTCAAAAGTAGACGGCGAGCGATGGAAGACTAGATAAACTAACATTTACGTCTACCAATGCTTAGTAAAGTAACTCACAAAGTTAGGAGTCGTTGAAGCCATAATGAAGACGATTTCGGCTAAGCAATAGTGTTACACTGCAAACCAAAATTTTGCCCACTTATAATCCAAAGCAACGAGCAGCGCAAGAGGTGAAGCTTGACTTAATTGCTTGGTAAGTTACACGACAGTCGTACAAAGCTCCTATCTAAGAGTTAGTGACCAGCGCCTTTCATGTTAAAACAAGTTCACGTTTACTGACCCCTACAACGTTCGCTTGCAGAGTAAGTTGAAGCCTCAGGCGACAAAAGAGAAGTAAGCTATCTATCAGCTTACTTATCTTACGATTTGCAACCAATTCATACTCGCCGTATGTCAGTCACTGGACGAGGCAATCAATCTGTTCCTATTTGACGCAGCAATCAGACCATTAGATGAATCAAAATGTAGTGATATGAAGATCAGTTTCAACATCCGCTGTGCTAGCCATGCCATACATGGATCACTTCCTGTAATGGAAGGAAACCAGAAGGGCATGACTAAGTTGAGCGGTGCACGCATAAGGAATGTAGGGGAGATTGATAAAAGCAACGATTACAAACAGTCAGCACGATCTGATTTCTGAAGGATCGAAGACGGTATCGGTGAAAAACCATTCACGATACCGGACATGCTAATGTGTCAGGTTGTAGTTGTACCAGAATGATCGTCGGAAGGGAACACAAAAAGATAGTTGGATTAGTACTCTGCGTTGATACCACTGCTT